GTGTCCATGGACAGAAGGAGACTGTCACATCACAGTGACTGGTGGGTTCAAACCACTGACATCGTCCACATGCTACCCAGCATCTGAACCACTGCACCACCAGGCTCCTGAGGCAATATTATAAATAATATTGATTGGAGGCACTTATTTATTCAGATAAATTAATATACCACCTCTGGAGCTTTAATGAATTTCATTTTTTAACACAAAGTTACCTAAACAATGGTAAAAAACGTAAGACTGTCAGATCTCCATGTTTTCTGGAACCAGACAAAGGCTCTCCCACTGCTCAAAGTCACTCAGCAGCATTTCCTCTTCCTAAAGGGAAAACACTGTTTTCTTTTATGAGATCTTAAGTAGAAGTCCTGACTTTGGGATTTAAGATTCAGGCAGCCAACATAGACGCAAATGCTTACTTTTTGAGTCGAAGAAGAGAAAATGCTTCTGTAGCATTTCTCCTTATTTTAGGAAGGACAATTGCAAACATATTTTCCTCCCCATAGTGATATGACTCACATATGTCTGAGCATGTGATGATGTGTTGTGCACAGCACAAACCCTGCAACCTTTCAAAATCAGTTCCCTGCATTTGCACTGATGACTTTTCACGTGAATCTAAACAACATTCCTTCCAAACTTAAACAATCTTGTCTCTGCCCCTTACTGGATCTCCATTCTCCTGGCTGGGGCAAGATTCAAGGCCTTCTGTTCATTCATATGGGGTCGCTAGGAGTTGTGATCGAGTCAAGGCAATCAACAATTCTGATGGTCTGGTGCTAAGGAGCTGCACTGCCAACCCAAAGACCAGCAGTTCGAACCCTCCAGCTATTTCAGGAGAAAAGAGGCGCAATCTCCTCCCCAGGGATTTACAGCCTCTTGAAAACCTGCAGGAGGGTCAGTGATGAGTCTGTCCAGCTCCATGGCACAGAAGGTCTCCTGGCGTGGAAGGCTCTTCGCTTCTCCTTCACTTTATGGAACACCAAGCTCTGCAAACTGTTGGCGTCCAATAAAGTACTGAATCCAATGCAATCGGAATCTAAATAAGGTTTCCACCTTTTTTCCCTTCTCCTGAAAGTCCCCCTAAATAGTGTCAACCACAGGACCTGCATTTCCTTCCCTCTTTCTTTTCTGCTTTGCTGCCCTCCCTTAGGAAGAGTCAAACCTAGGAATCCCAGGTCAGTTCATCCTACAACCAGGCGCGCACAACCTCCCTCCTGCTCGGCAGGAAAGGCGAGAAGGCGGCTTGGTAGTAAGCAGTGGTAGTAAAGGGGAGACGGAGGCAGGATGAGGTGCATCACGTGGCCACCGCACGGATTTTTCTCAATTAAAAACAAGAGGAAGCGTGAGTTTCCGGTCAGCGGGCTGCGGGACTAATCTGGTTCTTGGGATTCTGGTGGAGACGCAGGACCAGCACCCTCCGCTGAGGCTGGGGTGGGCGTTCGTCTAAAGTTCAGTTTAGGATCTGGGGAGAGGGGCCTGACATGTGGGGGTGCGGCAGGCTGAGGTCGGAGGTCAGGCACCCCGCTGCCGCCCCACTTCCGGACCCCAGACCCGAGAGCCCCCCGGCTGGATCTCAGCCGAGGCCCCGCCCCCCTCCGGAGGCCCCGCCCCACGCCCGCGGCAGCTCGCCCGCGGCTCGCGCTGATTGGCTCTGGCGGCGACCAATCAACGCGGGCTTGCCCTTCCAGCCCCGCCGCACCTCCTCCCGCGGGTCGGGGCTCGGCGGGTCCCCTGCACCAGGCCGCCCAGGAAGTGGCCCGGGGCGCCCTCGATGGCCACGGGGTGCGAGGCGCGAGGGGGATCCCGGGGCAGGTCCACCATCCCACACTCTCCACCACTCCCGCTGTGCGCAAAGGGGCGAGGGAGAGAGAGAGTGCCCCCGCCAAGCACAGGGAGGAATGCAGGAAGCCGAGGTTCCCCTGGAAAAGGGAAAGTGCCTGGGCCCCGGGGTTCGCGCCAGACAGGCCACACAGCGAGGGGAAGCGGAGGGAGGGCGGGCGGCCAGGGCGAGGACTGCCTGAAATCACAAAGAGGGAACAGAGAAAAGGCCCAGATCTTGCGTTTGGAGGGGCGGGACCCCAAGAAAACGAAAACTGAACCCAAAAGGGATGGCTGGGATCAGTCATTTCACAGCTGAGCTGGACATCTTGGTCTTTTTTGTCGCTTAAGAGTCCTCCGTTCAGCCCCTGCAGAGAGGCCCCCAGAACAACGTGATCCTGAGAGGAATCCCCCCCAAAAGGCCAAGGAGCATAAGAGGTGAAACAAAGGGATGGGGAAGAGGGTATTGAAAGCCAATCCAGCAGATCAGAACCAAGTTAGAGGACTTGACACAGCAACAGAGAAAGTTGGTGGGTAGAAGGTAAAAGCAGAAAGATCATGGCCACGTCCGAAGATCTGAGCTGGCTAAAGGCTGCCCACACTTGTACTGGACAGTGACAGTATGAATCCAGGCCAGAGTCTGCAAGGAGGGCACAGGAGGACGCGGACACCTTCTCCTAGCAGCTCATTTCCTCCCACCTGCTTCTGGTTTTTACCTGAGAGATGGGGAAAAAGCAAAGACAGCAATTCCAGCAGAAGCTGGGAAAACAGCATCCTCACAAACTCACACCCTCACTCCTGGGAGGAGCTGTTTACCGCTGACAGCCTTGACTTGGATGTTTGGGATAACTATCACAATAACACTTAAACTCCAACAGGTCAAAGGCAAAACAAGCTGATTTCCAGACATTAATGTGTTTAAGGATTAGATCACTTAGAGCGCTTTGGTGGCCTACTGGTAAGAAGCTGCACTGCAATCCCAAAGGCACAGGGTTCGAATCCACCAGCTGATCTGAGAAAGAAGGGGGGAGGCAATCTTCTCCTGCGTGATTAACTACCTGTGAAAACCCACTGGAGGGTTAGCTATGAGTCAGTCTGCACACCACACACACACCCCTCCCCCCCAGTTATACAGCCTATACACACACACACTCTGTAGAATTTCTCTAGTACAATGTGATTAAATTGTGGTCTAATGCCACCCCAAGATTGTTAGGTGATTATATTATTATTCTAGAATATTATATATTTTTTCTTAACAAAGCTAAGTGTGGGTTTGGTGGTTTGTTGTTTTGGTGGTGTTTTTTTCATACAATGAAGACTTTATCAAGTCCATTTTAGAAAGGAAAGTCCTATTTGGTCTTCAATCTTTCTTCCCAGCATATATTATCTGTCCCATTCTATCAATAAAGAGACCTGTTTAGATTAAAGCAGCAGGTGATGAAAAGTTACTTTGGTTCTTAACCTCTTATATCATTTTACATTAAGTCAAAATATCAGTTCTGATCTTCTTTGCCCTTCAAATCCTCATTACTTTGTCAGTGAACAGCCGACTGAAGTGTTAACCTGGGTTTACACTCCCGGAAACATCATCTGAAATAACCAAAGTTGTGCAGCTGATATTGACACATGCATGCCAATCAAACGCTTCTCATGATGCATCACCTAAAGTCTTCCTTTCCATACCCACATCTTATTCTAAAAAACAATGAATACTTGCATCAAATATTGACAACTGTCTGAATCAAGAAAAGCACGAGCACAGAATGAATCAAAGACTGTTTATCAATAAGAACTCCATGCAAAAATCCATGTCTTATGAATGAATTCAGAGTAAAATGAATAAACGCTTGCTGAAACTCATACTGGGAAGCATACATAAAAAGACAGTCACAAGATAATCATTTTGTCAGAATTAAAGTGTTTCCAAATGCTGGAAACTTCTGTGTTGCCAACTCATCACATTATTTGCAAACTACACTCCTCTTTTCTGCCCACAATTATGACCACCAGAAAACAGGCTCAACCGAAAGAAAGGCAGGCTAATTATTTCCTATTACAAATGTTTTTCATTTTCAATGCAGCCCTAGCCTCAGAGGACTTAAGGCCAATATTAAACATTTACTGAAATGTAGACTCTTGAACTTAAAGGCAAACGACAAATATCTTAGAAGAGGGCAAGGCTTAACTCTTGGGTTCAATGCAAAAAGGGTGGGGGCTCCAGGGAAATAGAGCTTCCTCTTTTCAACATGAAAACATGAAGTAATTTTACAGACAGTGCATAGTAGCCCCCAAAGGATATGTGTGATGTTTGAGTGAGGGTTTTCGGCAAAAACATACAACTGCCAAGGCAGACAAGTGGAAACTCAACGTCCATAACTCCTAACCAATAATAGGTCCCAGGCCCCTGCAGCTGCATACAAGCCAGGGCTATGAGAAGATACATCTGCATGAAACAATTTCTCAGGAAGTCTGGCTCAGGAACAAGGAGAAAATGTCACCCTTGATTTCTCTCTAGATCTACCCCTAACTGGCTAAGAATTCCCCTCTAAATATGGCAGCCTACCCCAGCTCTGGCTCCCCAGTCTGTTTTAGGGCAGTGTGAGCATAAACTGATGTTTCCCGTAGCTGTTGTTTATGTTACCTTGGTGTTATGAAATAACAGAACAAAAGTACACACAGGAACCTGATAAGATCACCCACAACTTGGGAGTGCTGAGGAACTATTTTCAAGAAAGGCTCCAACTCCTGCTTTAACCAAGCTTTTATGGTTAAAGACTGTCTCTTCCAAGGACTGGCCTAAATACAGCCAACAGAAAACCTCCATAAACAGGTCAAGGTTCTTCTTAAGAAACTTAACAAATCTCAGCACTTGTAGTGTGGAACGAGAGAGAGCTTGAAATGTACAACAGTGACTACTTGGGCCTGGTCCAAGAAACAAAGCCCTCCTGTGGCTTCCTCTGAAACTCCTGTGACTTCCTGCCAGGTGTCCCAGGGGATGGGAAAGGTGCACATCATGGGTGCCCTGACCCCCACCCTCCCTCTCCTGAGAGAAGACCCCCGGGAGAAGCAGTGCGAGCAGTGAGAAGGGGAAGAGGAAGAGGATCGGGTTAAGTACAAGGTTAAAAGCAGTCGCTGGACTTTCTCCCCAGGAAACGCACCTGCTGTGATGTCCAGTTGAGCTACTGGAGGTCGCCTGGCGGCTTCTGGAAACTGATGCTGGCATAGGCGCTTAAATCCTCGCTGCTCTCGCTGTGGCCCAGGGGCTGGTGAGGGGGTGGCGGCTGCGGGGGTGGCGGAGGGGGTCGCTCCTGGGGGCGCCGTTTAAAGTCCTTGACCAAATCCAGGTCTATGTAGTTAAGCCCATTCTCGAATCCCCCTACAGCCCCGCATCCCTGGGCCGGCTCCTTGGGGGCTCCTCCGAGCTCTCCAGGCCTCAACCACACGTTCTCAAAGGAGGCAGAACTGTGGCGCTTCACATCCTCATTGCTGTTGGCTCCGCCGTCCCCCGCGGCCGCAGCAACCCCTGCCAAGGGCGCCGGGTTGCCCACCCGGGTGGCACTGGGCGTCGAGAAGGTCTCGGAGCTGTGCCTCCGCCTGCACCCCTGCGGGTCCGCCCGGATCACTTTGGCATTCTGGTTGCGGTTGGGGCTGAGGTTGACCCGGGTGAAGGCGCTCAGGGCCCCTGCGCCCTGCGGGCCCCCCAGCAGGGAAGGGCGGACAGGCAGCTCGGCTCCTCCCTGAAGTGCAGCGGGCGAGGCCGAGGTGGCTGAGGATGAGGAGGGTGCGGCCGCGGGGGCCGTGGGCAGGCTCGCGTCCTCTGCAGTGATGCCTGTCCGCATGTCAGCGTAGCTGACCGAGGCCACTGGCGAGGTGTCCACGTAGCTCGGCCGGGCGCAGCCCATCTGCATGGTCATATAGTCACCCCGGCTGCTGGGCACAGCCCGCGTGGGCCGGCACACGCTCAGCGCCCCGGGGGGCGCAGGGCCCGCTCTGCCCACCTCTAGCCCTGGGCTCTCCTGCCAGGGCCCCCTCCGGCCAGGTCCCAGGTCCATGTTCATGTACTCCTCCGTGCCAGCCCCGTCCTCTCGGGGCACCGGCTGCAGCGGGGCCGGGCAACTGACCGCAGGTGAGTTGCGTGCAGCCACCGGGCCAGTCAAGTAGCCAGGCTGGTCCCTCCCGAACTCAATGTTCACATACTCCCCGGGGCTCTTGGGCTCCGTTGCGTGCAGCGGCTGCGGCTGCTCACGTGCCCGAGGTAAGGTGCTGGCCTTGGGGTCTCCCAGGGACAGCCTCGTGGGCCGGGCCAGGCGGCTGTGGGTCTGGGCGGCCATATCCACCTTGCGAGGCAGGTGGGGTTGCAGGGCCTGTGGGTGGTGGTGCGGGTGGCCAGGCTCGGGTCTGGGCCCGCAGTACCCTCCGCCCAGGCTGTCGCTGCTGGTGGAGGAGGAAGAGTCTTCCGCTGTGGCCGCATAGAGGAGTCGGCCGGAGCTGGAAGAGAGGCGGAGGTGCTGGTGCCGGGTGCTTTCCTCGGGCTCCCCAGGGCGCTGGCTGTGCTTAAAGGACCTCGGCAATGAATAGTAGGAGAGGACCGGCTTGGGCTGTGGGTCCTCTGAGCCGTAGTAGCAGTCGGAGGGGCTGCTGGTGGTGGAGTCCCCCACAGGCGACATATTCATATAGTCACCTGTGCAAGGCATGAGCTTGCCACCGCTGCTCTCCAGGGGCGCTTTGGGGTGCGAATGGTGGCCGACTCCATTCGTCCACAGCTTCCCATAGCCGCTCCCAGAAGGGGCTGCGCTGCCGCTGGGCCCGCCTCCGGTGTCCGGGGAGCAGCTCCCGCTCGGGGACATCATCATGTACCCATTGGGGTCCATCCGCTGGGGATGATGGCGCCTGATGGGGTTGATGATCTGCTGGGGCGCGGACACACTCTTGGGACTCATGGGCATATAGTCCCCGCTGCCCTTTCGGGTGCTGGGCGTGGGGGCCACTCCTGGGGACATGGGCATGTAGCCCTCTTCGGCCTGTAGCGTGGCGCTGTCTGGGCGGGAGTGGCCCCCACGGCGCTCCAGCGGGTGCATCTCCAGCGCTCCCTCTGGGTAGGAGTGCGTGGGCACGAAGGCCGAGTGCCGGTAGCCCGGCAGGCGGCCTCCACCGCCCCCTCCTGGAGGGTAGGCGGGCATCATCTCCGTGTACTCCTCAATGGACGCCACGGAGGACTGCGACGGGGTCTTCTGGTGGGAGATGGTGGGAGACGTGCCCGCGGAGTGCGTCCTCTTTCGGAAGCGATTCTCCAGGTCTGCAGCACCGGCGGCCTCCTCAGCACTCAGCGCCGGGCTGGTGCCCAGGCTGGCACCAGGCAGGCACCGGTGGCCATTGCCACCCCGAGCCAAGACGTAGTGCCCATTGGGGGCGGTCAGCGTGGAGGCCCCCTTGCCACCCATGCAGATGTAGTTGCTCAAGTCCTCCTCGCCCCGGGCCGGTGGGGTGTGGCCCAGGGAATCTGGGGTGACGCTGCGGTAGGAGCTCCGGAAATCACAGGGACTGGAGCCATACTCATCCGAGGAGATGAAGCCTCCGTCACTGGGGGAGCCGGACACAGACGCACTGGACCGGCGTGGGAACAGGCAATCCGAGGTGGAACCGTGGCCACTGGTGCTGCTGGATGACAGGCTGACGGGGCTGGTGGCCGAGGGCGAGCAGCGGGACGTGGGCATGGGGATGGAGCGACTGTGGTTGAGCGGGGGGTGCAGCCGTGAGCTGCCCCGGTGCCGGTGTGCGTGCGTCCGGTTGGTGCTGGGGCTCACGGGGCTGCCGTCCACCGAGGCCGGGCGCGACATGGTGCCCTCCCCGTCGCTGGAGGCGCGGACCCGGAAGGAGCCAGGCTTGCCACCCACCATGCTGGCTGGGGACGTGGCGGTGATGCTCTCCGTGCGTGAACGGCGTGTCAGCCCCACCTGGCTGGGCGGGGGGTTGTTGAGGTGGTGGCGGCGCATGGGGACACTGATGGGGTTGGAGCAGTTGGAGGAGGACTGGCTCTTGCTTCGCGGGCGGAACTCGTCACTCATGGCGCGCATGGCCTCCAGGATGGTTTCGTGCATGTTCTGCGCCACCACGGAGTCATCCACCTGCATCCAGAACTCCCCGGGTCCCGTGACGGCCGAGCGGCCCACCTCGATGAAGAAGAAGTTCTCCGAGTGACCGCAACGCCGGATGTTCATCAGCTGCAGCACCACCGCCGCCGCCTCTGAGTTGAGTTTCACGAAGCTGATGGTCTTGCTGGTCAGGCAGAGGCGGTAGATGCCAATCAAGTTCTTTGTCTGGCCCAGGCCCTTGGGCTTCAGGATCACCTGCCAGACCTCCTTGAAGGCTGGGCCGGGGGGCACGTCTCCGTAGCTCAAGTCCTCGCCCGCCTCGCCCAGGCAGGCGCTGCCGCTGCAGCTGCCGCCACCACCGCCCAGCCCGGGCGCCACGGCCCCATCGTGGTGCCCCTTGGCACGGTTGTGCAGCTGCAGAAGAGCCTGGTACCAGCTGTCCTGCTCGGCCTCGCTATCGGCCGCGATGGCAAAGTGCTCGTCGCGGGTGTAGAGAGCCACCAGGTGCTTGTTCTTGGAGTCCGCCCGCTTGTTGATGTTGAAGCAGCTCTCCAGGGGGATCGAGCGTTTGGGGGCGCTCGACTTGTGCCGCCACTTCTTCTCGTTCTCGTAGTACTCGAGGCGCGCCGGTCCCCCCGCCTCGCTGGCCGCCCGCAGCACGAAGAAGCGCTTGTGCATGCTCTTGGGTTTGCGCAGGTAGCCCACCTTGCGCACGTCCGAGAAGCCGTCGGTCTCCGGAGGGCTCGCCATGCTGCCGCCGCCACGGCCACCGCCGCCGCCGAGCGGAGGGAGGCGCCGAAAAACAAGCGGGTGGGGGGCGGAGGCTCCGCAGCGCGGCCCCGCACATGCAAACAGGGCTGGAGGCGGCGAAGACCGAGCCCGAGCCGCAGCCACGCCGCTCCCCGCGCCGGGAGGGGCGGTGGAGGAGCGCGCAGCGGCCAAGCGGGGAGCTGGCCCCGACCCGAGTTCACGGGCGGCTCATGCCCGGGGGACAGGCCGGGCGTCCGGGACGTGGGCAGCCCCAATCCTCCGAGAACCGAGTGCCCGCTTCGCCGCCGGGGCCGGGAAGGGGCGCAGTGGCATCTCTGGCCGTCCTGCCGGCGGCCGGGGGTCCTAGTGCTTCCCCTCAAGGCGCGCGCGCGCGCCTTCCCTCCGGAGTTCCCCTCTGGAAGTCGCGATTCCCGAGGCAAATTAAATATCCTTGGGCAGGGGGAGGCGGGCTGCCAAGTCCCGCTGCTGCACCGGGTTCTCCCTCCTCCTCCGCCTTCTCCGCCTCCTCCCACCCCCAACCGTCCCCGCCGCCACCAGCCGCCCAAATACCAGCTCAGTCGCGGAGACCGCGGCGCTGCGGCTGTTGCTGCGGCCGCCGCCCGCAGACGCGTCCTCTGCAGCCCCTGATCGGGCCCATGTCGGCGGGCGGAGCTAGGGGCTGGTCCCCGCGCAACGCGGCCAGGCAGCCGGGGGAGCGGAGGCCGGGCCGGAGGGCCGGGCGCATCCCTGCCCCTCGCTCCAGTCGGCAGGGGAGGCGGGCGGGAGGTTGGGGAAGGGGCCGGGTGGCCGCCTCTGCCCTGGGAGGCGCTGCCGCCGCAGTGACTTCTCCCCTCCTCCTCGGAGAGTTGCCGAGAGCCCCAACCAAAACAAGCGGCGGCGTCTGGCTCCGCGCGCCGGCCCCTCCGACCGCGCCGCCGTCTCACTCGAAGGGAAAAACACGTGACGGAGCCTTGGCGCTCCACTTCCCGGCCGCCGCCGCCGCCGCCGCCGCCGCCGGGAGGCTCCCGCCTGGGTCGCTACATTCC